AACTCGTATTGTTTCGTAAACCACCCCTTGTACGCTTTATTCGCGAGCCACGACGGAATCTCCGTGCATTGTTATCGCGTGCACGCACAAATGATGTCGGAGGAACCTTGATGAAACGACGGGTTATTATCCACATTGTTTCTCGTCGATTTCGACCGATTAAAAAGTAATCTAGATTATTTAGGACTGTTAAAATTACTCGTTCGTCGCCGATTTATCCAGTTCGTTAAACATACGTGTACACTCGATCTCTGAAATAACAATAATCATCTCTTTCACTCGAACATAAAATATTCAATAGGAGTCGTGCGTGAATTAATTTTATAACACAATATTCACTAAGATATTAAATCTACACGAACGATAAAATTTTTCGTACACGTTTATTGAATTATCTTCCAATAATTCATAAATTAATTACTATTATATAAAAAAAAAAAAAGAAAGAAAGAAAAAATCAACGTTTCAAACGAGAATTGAATTGTATTTTTAAGTACCTTATATTTTTTTTCATACACCTCATCGACGCCGAGTTACGAAACCACTCGAAAACTCTCCAATAAAGTAGCAATTAATTTCCCTTTCGCCACTCGAATTTACCATCGATTTGCCGCGCAAGCAACCGAGCTTCTGAATATGCAAAAATCCCTCCCTCCCAACTTGTTTCATCCCAGCACCGGTTCAAAAATAACAGATGATTTCGCGAGCCCGTCATAAATCCAACTAGGGGTTAACCCCCTTAACAAGATATATTACTCACGATCGTCCAAATACCGCGCGAATATGCAAAACTCCGCGTTTATTCATTCACAAACTCCGGCTATCATCTTGCAATAAAAAAAAAGAAAGAAAGAAAAAAACGTGTCCGTTTAATCGCTCTAAATCGCGATTTAATCTCTCTCATCTTCGATTTTTCTTAAAATGTGAAAAAATCAAAACTTGTCATCTAAACACTCTTTCGTGCCTTCTATCATACATTCTTTTGAAATGATGCAAGTTCTGACATTATTACTAATTAGATGCTGTATCGAACGAGATGTTGACAAGAGAAACTGAGTCGTAGTTCGAGAAAACGTTGAATTCTGAAACAACTCGTGCAATCAACTCGTGGACGATCAACAGCGCGGATCGGTGGCATTCGTTTTCAGCGACCCGTGTAAACAGGTCGTTTAATCAGATCAGATGTACACGCGACGCTGTCTAAAGTCGTGAAACGCCCCGTGGTATTGCTCATTAAAGGGAAGGAGGGCGGAACGATAGTGGCGACGCAGGATATCCACGACGACACGGTCGACTATCGCTGCTAGGCACACCTGTCAGCCGAGGAATCAAGTCGTTTGTTACGTTAATTGCTCTCCCGTGTCGCATGCATTAGAGCGGCGATCTTTCACGGTTTACTACCTGTTCTTCGCTTCGTTGATCCGTGAACTTACCGCCCACGCTCCTTTACGCCTTGTGTACACCCCTTGCCTTGGATATTTGATCGAGATGATCGATCGGCCGGTAATTAACATCGTGCACGTGTTTCTTAAGACGGAGAGAACATCTAATTAATCATCAGTGATTAGAGAAGGGAAGCTGGAAGGGAAAAGGATGTTGCTTTAAAATTGACTTTGTACGAGGATTTTTTTCTTCACACTCTTCTTGATTCGCTGGTTCAATTGTGCGCTTCTACTAGTTTTTATTTGAATAGTAATAAGGAAGTGGAGTTAATAAAGAAAATCGCAATTCTAAGAAAAAGAATTCGAAAAGGAATTGAATTGGAACTGATTGTAGAAGATAGTTTAGCTCGTTAAAAACAGCAAGATTCATATAATTAAACAGGCTAATTATATAAGAAATTGGAAGAAACGTAGCAAAATGTATTTATAATATCTTTATTTCCCTATAACACGTCTATAAAATTCTTTCCATCTTCGAATACCTTCGTACTTTCGCATCTTTCTTGATTGTCCATGTCATTGATTAGTGAACATTATTAATTGACCGCTTCTTTCTTTCGGGTTTACGATTCATCCTTAAACTCTATCCTCGCTATGGGTGACCGAGATCACGGGTTCTAACCCAACCGTTCCCTAATTAAAACACGCTCCAATCAATCACTCGCAGTTATCACAAGATTCACAAGATGTGCAAAAATTTACTTGATACATTCTTTCGTCTCTTTGAGGATCTTGTGCAAGTCGTTGAGGGCTTCCGTTTGAGCGTCCGCGTGGCATTTCACAGCTTCCTTCAATTGTTTCAGAATCGAGACCTCGGCGTTTTTAACGGTCGCCTCCAGTTCCTGCGAGACCTGTTTCCTCTCTTTTATAACGTTTTTCGTCTCCCTCACTACGCACTTGACAAACTCGTTCGTCTCGAAACAATCCTTCAGGACTTGTTTCATCGAACTCTTGATGACCTTCATCGTTTTCAACTGCTCGTCGCATTTCATCTTCGCGGCCTGGAATCCAATTATGGCCTTCTCGTTGCAGATTTTTACCTTCTCGTCGTATTTTGCTTTCACGTCCCGAAGAGTCTCCACCTTGCCCTCCGAGCACACCTGCAACTCGCCCGTGTCGTCTGACTTGACGCGGTTCAGAGAGATTCAGAAACGTATTACAAATTCTCCATGAGAAAATAGGGCTTAATGCCAGAACAAATTTTCTCAATTCGTGTTTGGTAGAATTTAAAATTGCGATCGTAATTCTTTCGAATCTCGTTGTTATACTTGATCAATCATAGCGCGATGAGATCAAGTTCGATATATTTAATTAAATTCAATTCGATCATTATAAACAGAATTCTTGTAATTTTAATTGTATATTCGTAAAGAATAATTTTCGATTCGCAATGTGGATCACTTTTGCAACTATATTCATATTCGAACTCATAATCGACAATACCTTTATAGTCTGTCGAAGAATCTCCTCGATCCTTTTTATCTCCTGCCTTAAGAATTCCTCGTTCTTCTTCATCAACTCGCTCAGCTCTTTGCCAGTTTTCGTAAGCAGTTCCGACAGTTCTTTCATCTTCTTCTCGATGTCCATTCTCGTTCGTCGAAAGACACAGGTGAAAATGTCGGTCGAAAGTTTTCTTATATCCTTGTACCCGTTGCCACGTCTCGATATCACCTTCGAACCAGAAGAAATTAAAAATTACCTTCTTATTCCTCTTCTCGATCATTCGTTATAAATCGAATCCTTACGTAATCTACATCCATTCCGACTTCCCATAATATATTCCACATATTTTGCAATTCATACTCACCGTTGCGCCTCGCGCGCAGCTCGAAGCGTGATTCGCTCGGAGCAACTGTTTAAACATTCTACGAGTAACACTTTCCTCCTCGATATTACGTTACCACATCTCGAGGATGGCTTACAATTTGCTTCTTCGTCGATCTTGCAAGGAATTGAATTTGTGGTGAAGAAAGGACGGTGGAAACCGCGCGGTAAATTGAAACGTTCCCCCCCTTTTTAGTATTCTTACACGCGCGAGGCGCAATTCCTCGTGCTTGTTCCCTTTCGCCAGATATTCCCCATATTTTTCATGGGAGGATTATTTGTCTCCAGGTGAAAGGAGGCGACGAGTTGGAGCGGGAAACGTTTAGAAATTTCATTAGCGGGAGGAATTTCATTAGCTGAAATCCATCCAACGACGAAACGATATATATATATATAGAGAGAGAGAGATATCGAAAGGGGGAAAGGTATTGAACTTCAGTCGATAGAATAATTCACGAGGGCGGGGGACGTTCGCGCTATTTATCGGTGTTGACAGTTTTTCGAGAGAAGCGTGACTCGGTTGAAGGATTATTTATTTTCTTCTCATATCGAGTCGCTCGTGTCGAGGCTCGAAAGTGGAGGAAGTGACCCTCGAGGCCGAGAAACGAACGAAGTGAGAAAATTCGAACTCGTGATCATAAACACGGGTTAAGAGAGATTTCACGAAAGAGGAGAATTGCACATCCGTGAGAGATTCTTCGAGGGAAAGATGTAGAACGGGAAATTTAAGTTGGTGCATGGTCGTAAAGCGAGTTTGTGTTTCAGGAAGGATGAAAAATAAATATCTTCTTATTTTCTTTTATATATATATAGTATATTCAACGAGATAAAATAGAAAAAATTATTGGTTAGAATCTGTTGTGTGGATAGGTTAACCTTCAATTCGATAACACGACGTCAATTCGAGGGATCTGAAACTAGAAAGAATTATATTCATGTATAATTACTTTTTATTTATCATCTGATTTTTATTATATCGAGGTATTTTCCAAAAATGTTGTGGCTTATTATTTTCTTGTTACTCAGTATTTTATATTAGTTTTGTTATTATATTGCTTTTGTCTCCTTGATATTTGTAACTATATTAAGACGTGTCAAATTATATTTCAAATAATGATAAAAATTTCTAAAGATACACCTATATTCGGTAAAAAGGAAAATAACAATTTCCAAAAGATTCAAAAAGATCTTCTCTATGGGACTTAAAGACTAGTTCAGTTTAAAGCAATTATAAAAAAAAAAAAAAAAAGAAAGAAAGAAACGACAACACATGTCTTTTTGTACAATCGATTCTATATTGAATTATGAAGTACGTAGCATAAAATATTCAATTAAATTCATAAGGAATATGAATAGTCGTCACCAATGATTCCAATTGAAGGTTAAACATTTTAATCTACAGATTGTAGTTGTAATTTGATATCATTTCGAAACACAATCCTTCTTATTAATTGCTTTATATAACCCATTCCAAATAATTATAAAAAAAGAACATAATTAAAATTGTTGATCAATTTTGCTCCTTGTTTCTTGTAGCTCTTAAACCGGTACCCTCATTGACACTTTGTCCATCGAATTCGTACAATTTTCATATGACAATCTTTCGGAACATGATAAAGTTTCATGGTAAAAGACATCGTAGAAGAATCTCCTTCTTGGAAAACGTCATCTAACCGCGCAAGAATTCCTTGAAAAAAAGGAGCGAATCGTTGGAAAAAAATTTCCAGGTAAAAGACAAGAGTTCTCGTCTCTTTTGCCACTTTAATTCAATCCTTGATTCCAAATTTGAAATTTTGAATTCATCGATTAAGCGGAGAAAAATATTCGGCGATATGGGTAATTGTATCGATAGAGAAACAGAAAATTTTTTGGCGCTGATGGGTCCACGAGTGGACACTAAACCTTTGAAGCACGGTGAAGAGTGCATAATTTTTCTGATAGGTGGCCCTGGCGTCGGGAAAAACACGTTGAGTGAAAAATTGTCCTCCCGTTATAATTTGAAGCTGATATCTGTGACAAATATATTACGCGAAGAGGTCAATAAAGAAACAGATAGAGGAAAATTTTTCAAGTCCTACATGATAAAAGGTAACGTTATACCGGCCGACTATATCGTTCAACTGGTGGTGCGGGAAATGCTAAAAGATGCTCCGACTACGGTTGGTTATCTAATTGTTGGTTTCCCACGGGATAAGAAACAGGTTATTGATTATATTGCTCTGATTCGACGTTTCTCAACCCTTTTCGTGATCCAAACCATATATATATATATAAGTGTACAATATTTTTCTTCTTTTTTAGTAGTGATCCTACTAAATATATTAATTTATAATGGTATATCCTGGCGATCCAAGTATCCTTATTATCATTTTTAGATATTTAAGAGGTTGAAATTGATATATTATATTGTATTAATAAATATAATATTATTTAAGCGTAGTTCGGATATATTACTTGGATTAATCGAGTAATTCGATCGATAATAATTTCCTACTCCTGTTGAAAATTGAATGCGACTTATGGGTTAAGAAACGTAATTGAAATTGAATTTTGAAAGAAGTTTTATCTCGTTTCATTTTTTTAATTCATGATGAAACGAGGCATTATTTATAAAATAATAGAAGAAATATGGAAAGATTAATCGATTAACAGGCAATAATATTCAATGCGGAAGTAAGGCAGCCCGATTTGTTAATAAATTTGTATGCAAGACGAGTCATTCTTCAAGATCGAATGGCAAAACGTGCCATTACCTCGATGAGATTCGACGATTCCGACGAGGCTGTTGTCAATCGTATGATACACTACTTCGCAAATGTGAAAAGTGCGACAATGCCTAACAAACGTGTAATGAAGATTATTGACGCGGAGAGAAACATAGAGGAAGTGTATAAAGACGCGTGTAAATTAATAGAGGAGGTTTTACCGAAGTAATTAATAATAATTAAATATCAATAATTTCGATTTCTTTGATCAAAGTCTACTATCTTACCATTTACCAAAAAACTTTCAAGGAATGTGAAATTTTATCGTTTTCTTTTCGCTGTTCCTCTTTTTAATTTCTATTTTCTAATATCTTTACAGAGAAAATAATACCTAAAATCTTTAGGTATAATTCTTCTAGACTCCGCGAAGAAGATTCTACGAAGTTTGTACGAGCTTTCTCAACTTTATTTAAAGTTATAAAAGATATGTGAAATTTCAAACATTAAATGAGAATATTTAAAATATCATAATATTTTGTTATATCTTGGAAAAAATTCTAAGTAGAATTTTGACACGTACATGTATTTATTTATAAATAGTATAAATGTGTTATAACACATTTATAGAAATCAATTAACTAACTAATTAATAAGAACAAAATTATAACTTGTTAATAATTAAGTTTGTACATAGATTAGCAATAATTATTCTAAGATCTGTCTTAATCGTAGTTTCGAACTGCGTTTATATATTTTGTAAAACTGCACGAGAAAATAATCTCATCGATATATATATATATATATAATCGTCGTCTATTATTGAAAATAACAAATTGCAGAGATTTCTCGTGAAAAAGAAGACCTAGTTGGGGCGCATCGGGAATATTGAAACGAAAGAGGAGAGAAAAGGAAGAAAAGTTGCACGATCTGCCCGATTAAAAAGATTTTCAATTTTTCTGGAAACACGTGCAGAATAATCGACGTCCTGTCGTGTCCAGGCCTCCTCCCATTTTGAGTTTTCCAGCCTTGCTCGTGATGGAGCCGAGGCTAACCGGAATTACCACCGGCTTACTACACCCCCTCTCGAATGGATTTCAAGCATATTTTCCACGATGCTGCCACTCTTAACACGGTTATCCAGATTATTCCCATTGCGAAATCTATTTCTCTTTCGCTCCCCCAACTTTCCAATAACTTTCATGCTTTAACGTTGCTCGAGACGATATTTCGCCGCAATTGCAATAGTTGGAACAGCTGACACTTAAAGGGCGTATCCAATGAACAAACTTTCTTTTCGCGTTATCGCAAACTTTTCGGTTACCTCTGGAAAACTCGACACATTTCTCCACCGATCCCTCGCGCTCGCTCGTTGCTTTAATTTTTTCCGGATACGCGAACGGAATTATCCACACCGCCATTCCCTTGGCGACTGTCCGCCGCTTCCGATGTTTCTCTCTATAATTTTTAAACCGTATCGCGGCTGATATTACGAAACCTAACGAGAACTTATTTTACTTGAAAGTTCGAAACGAGTACGTATTTACGAGGATTCGTGTCGGGTCGCGTCACGAATTTCTTTTTCTATTTAAAAAAAAAAAAAGGAAAAAAGAAAAAAGCACGCGGAATTTTTTGAGACGTCCCAAACAGAAAATTTATACGCTTCGTCGAACGCGTGGGTTCTTTGTTCGAAATAATTGAGAAATACATTGACAACACGTTTCAACGGTCACGTATATACGGGAATTTCGTTCTATTCGATGTTGCAGCCACCATGATTCATCGGCAGCTATGTACAAATACATAGGAAAGGGAAACAAAAATTCCATTAAAATTTTTTTTACCATTAAAATAAATATTTTCGAATCACGTTCGCGCGTTAATTCGTTCGAATTAATCGTGCTTTTTGATCTCCGTTCTTGTTATTCTTTCACACATTATTTTTATTTTTCTTATAGAAAAATAAGATAAAAAGAATATTGGGAAAAAAAGGATCACAGAATCGAGAGAGAAAAAATCTGTTGCAAATTTTCATCCCATGCAACAATTCGTGAGATGAGAATCGTGATACGAACAATTAAAGGATATATAAAGATAAAGCGTGTTCTCCGTCATAGTTCTCGTTCACTGATCTCTTCCGTCCTAAATTTTCGATTAGTAAAGGACAAAGAAGTTTCGTCGTACCATCACGAAAATTGTTCGATTTCGCCTGCTATTGAAATCCACCGCGCTTGTTCCATTCGAAATGGCGAATGAGGGAATAAAACGAAGCTTTCTGTCGTGGTTTGAAAAACTAAATGTCCCTCTCTCTCTCTCTCTCTCTCTCTCTCTCTC